TGTTTTACAAAGGAGTGAACTAAGTTTGATGTCTGCCAATATAGCATACCATTTTTAGAAATAGATTCATATAATGGATTAAAAGTAAAATTTTATTGAGAAAAGAACTGTTGAATACGTTTAAATTTTGGCTTTCTATAAAATCAATCCTAAAACCCTGTAACCCATTAAGCAGCGATTTGCTATCTTATGTCGTAGATGATAAATTAACTGACTTAAGCTACTGAAAGATTAATTTGTTGGACAAACGAAATCTTGTCTGTACTTCCAGAAACATTTGTAACATTTGAAGGAGGAAATCACAAGGATATGTGAGTACCCTTTCCCTTTCCTACTGAATCCTTTTAAATTCTTTTGTCAAAAGCAGAGGACCCTTTCTTTCTTTTTTTATTTTATTTTATTTTATTTTATATTTTGTTTTGTTCTATTTTTTGTTAAGCCGAAGCTTTGTACTTCACTGTCTACATTTATGCCGATCATCGATAAGAATTTTAAACCAAATCTTATGGTTACATTATGAGTTTCAAAATATTTGTAGAAAGGTTTTCAAAACCCATTGTCTCGTTATAGTTGATGACAGTGTTGCTACTTACTCGTGGTGTTACTCGTTTAGTTTCTAGTTGTTTTATCATTTTATGTGTATTCAGAGTGTGTTATTATAAAATTCAATCCACACTCAATCCTTACTCATTTAGTTTCTAGTTGTTTTATGTGTAAGAATGATTGAAATTATTTAATTATTTATAATATTGAGAATAGTTGAGTTGAGTTTAGATTTTGAGCATGGATTGAATTTATTAATAATACCCTCTAATTGATTATATTCATAATATTGAATATATTGAGGTAGAGTTAAAATTGAATTAGATTTTGAGTATAAATTGAAGATGGATTGAGTTTCTACTTCTCTCTCGTTTAGTTTCTAGTTGCTTTATGTGTAATAGTTGTTTTGTTTCACTCGACTATTTCCTAGTTGTTTTATGTGGATTTAGTGGATTTGTTTTTCATGGCCAGTAATTCCAAGAGGGGGATAATGATNAATGTTGGCCACATATAAAACTGATAATTTGGAAAACAAAACGGAAAGAAAGAACAAAATCGGCCAAAATGACATAAAGCTAGGTATAAAGGCAACGAATTTGGAAAACGAAAAAAGAAAGAAAATATAAATAAAATAAAATAAGCCAAAATGACTTAAAGGCAAGGATTAGGGAGGATGGCTGTTTCTCTAGGTGGCTGTTTCCTAAACGAAAGAATAAAACAGAACAGAACAGGCAGCGAGCAAATGTGCCTGCATTTAGCCATTTGAGGTTTAATAAAGACTCACAATGTAGAAAAGTCCTCCATCAGAGAACGATAAAACCCAGACAAGATTAATCAATCAATCGAACTTATATAGAAATCGAAAAACATGTCCTGTTATCCAATGACAAATAAGAAATCAATACGAGAGAACACTAGGATGATAAAATAATATATCAACACAGACATGAGAGACCCAAAGAACCAAAGCACATTTTTCGAAATATCAGCGTAAAACCAGACAAACCTCGTTTCGGCACAAACCTTGTGGCACGTTTGTTGATCATCGACCAAAGCTTAAACTCATCACCAAACACCCACAAAATTCCCACATTGCTTTCCTAAAATTCCGCAATTCACTTCCCCTCCAACAGTGCTTCTTAGATCCCAGAATGCAGATACATATCTTCTAGTATGGAGAATCATGGGAAGGGCTATCTGCATGCATATCCATTGAAGTGTCGTTTGAACTCGGCTGATTTGGGTTGCTGTTATTCTCCTGAAGAACGCGAGTGGAATTATTCGCATATTGGCCGTTCTGTGAGAGGTGATAGTTCTGTAAGCTCCGGCGAACGGGACTTGATAGGGCATTCGAGAAAACAGAGTTGTTCTTGGACTGGTCAGTGTTGTTTCCTCCCGAACGTAATCCCTGTGTGACATTTGTGGGACCAAACGAGTTGGAAGATACTGGGATTACAGCGTGAGTCGATTGAATAGGATTATTTTGTGTTGGTTGCTGTTGCTGCTCCTCTATTGCATAATCGAGTTCGTTCTGCACGTCAAGTTCATCATAAGAATACAAGGGGCTTCAGAAATTAAGCGATTTACTTCCAATTCAGCAGGACATGTATGAATGCAAAACTTAATTCGAACTAAGATCAACAGAAACTCAAGAGATGAGTAAAACAGAGGCATGGGAGCTCAACAGGTATGCAAGTTCTACCAAAAGCTAATAAGTACAAAATAAAGTGATATAAACTCCAATCCAACAAGTATGGCCACCATTCTGGANCAAACGATCTAACTGGAGGACAAATGAATAAACATGCAACTGACTAGATATGTACTTTCGAAGTCTGGACATGTTGTTATACTGTTGGCCCAAACAGCATTTAGGAATCTCTCAAGTTCACTGAACAGTTATATTCCTGAACTCCCCAAACGATAAGCTATCTAAATTCTAGTTAGAGAAAATCTTGCTATCCATGACCACAGTAGTTTTAAAGAGGTGAAACAAACACCACAGATCCTGAAGTAGGTGAATATGTATACTCATATTTGATTACAAGTTCAGCTGAAAACTCTGTTAATACAACATGGGAAGTACTAAACACAGGCATCCTGTGACTAACGTTAAGTTCACTCCTAATCAGATTATGCTATACTTCTGGTTAGGAGCACATAACAATAAGATTAATTCCGCTTTCAGTGACCTACTTAATCCACAACTGAAAAGGCACGGGTGGTTAGTTTCATGAACATTACAAATTCCCATTAGATTTACATTCTGAGAGAACCATATGTGACATAAAAGTACCCACAGCATTGTTTCCTATCAAGAATTTCTTAGCTCAGTCGAAATACAAGTCATGCGAATTGCTCATAAAACTGAAATCACAACTATCACGACACGAAAATTGTATAATCACATAAAACCGACGATATAGAACAAGAAAAAATTCCGAGATCAATGCATATACATCACAGAATTGTTAGATAAAGAAGCACACACAGACTATGCTTGAATTTAAGTAACATTACTGATCCATATTAAAAACAATTTCTATCTTAATCAAGAATCAAAATTTAATTCAAAAAGATGATAGACCTGCACATAAGCAACTATGTCACCAGGCGTCACTCTAACACCATCTTCTTGCTGCCTCAAAATCCAACTATAAAGCTTCTCCTACAATAAGTGGAAAACAGAATTGGAACAGTCCTGAATAAACTTAAAAATTACAAAACTCAAAACTTCAAGTTTGCTCAATTTAAGTTTGCACTATATAGCAGATTCTCCCATACAACTGCGAAACCAAAATAAGGCCGAGTGATAATTGATTACAGAAAACATTACATGATATTATGATAGAGATCAAACATTGTACACAAATATGAGCACAGAATCTCACTCATCATCCAAATCAGATAAAATTACCTAGTCACATCGGCTCGTCCAAAAAATTACCATCAGCCTTCTCCCAAAATAACAAAAAACAAAAACATATCTTGAAAACAGCGAAAAATTAAATCAAAATCACAGAAACAACCGCAAAAATCAACCTAATTATTCCACCCCATTCTCAGACTAATTGAAGAACCAAACCCAAACCAAAAATCGAGCAAAAAACGAAGCATAGGAGGGTTCACAATATCGCCACACAAACAACTCAAAATCAAACGAACCATCGCGTGTCGTTCACCGGCCTGGAAGGATAGCCGCTGCTGGTTCATGGCCTGAGAGTACAGCTGAGATAGATTATTGGCGGCACTGCAGAAAGCAGTGTATATCCCTCGATCCACCTCATCGAGCCGCGTCGCATCAGATTTCCTCTTCTTCGCCATCCGAGGAAATCCTTCGATTAAATTAACTTAAATTTTGATTTTCCTGAAATTTCTACAAAACCCTAGATTGCTTCAGGAAATGTCACCGCATACAAATACAAATAGAAGAAAAATAGGCAAGGTTGGGTTGGGTGGGCTTGTGCGTGCGCCTCTCCAGTGTATAGCGTGGTTTTCATTCCAAAGCAACAATGGGAAGAAAAATGTGCGCTTTTGGCATGTCACGTATTATGATAGGTGGCCGTGCTATTTTGATATTTATATGCCGCACCCATTTTATTGCGTATCGTACCCCAAAAAACAATTTTACCATTTATTCTTTTTTTTTAAGAAAAAAAAAATATCTCACCTTCTGATCTATTTAACAGCCGGACCGAATTCTGAAAAATTCTGAAAAGACCTCCGAATAATTCTGGCGAAAAAATACCATCCAAAAACACCAGTCACACGGCGGCCGGCCAGTCAAACCAGTCGGACTGAAGCCGGCCGATCGAAGATTGCAAGACCGGCCGACTGGTATTTTTCGGCCAAGCCAATGTTGGCCGCGTCAGGCGGCCGGCCAGGCTTCACCTGACCGAAAAGACCGGCCGGCCGGACCCTAATCGGCCGCGGTCGTCGGTCGGCCGGTGCCAGTCCGGCCGGTTT